CCTGCCTGCAGTCGCTGCTGTTCGATGAGGAGCGGAGCCCCGCAGGTGCGCACCGGGCGGGGCCGCCCCGCCGGGAACCGGGCTGGCCCCGGGGCCCTGACCCCGCTGCGTGCCCGCAGAGCTGGCCCTGATGTACAAGAACGAAGGGAACGAGTACTTCAAGGAGAAGGACTACGGCAGAGCGGTGGCCGCCTACTCGGAGGGGCTGCGGAGGCGCTGCGGGGACGCGGAGCTGGACGCGGTGCTGCTCACCAACCGAGGGGCTGCACATTTCCACCTGGGTAAGGAGCCTGCGACCGCCTGGCACGGCGCCTCCGCGCTCCAGAGCTGCTTTTCCTCCCCGTCTGGGGTTTCCTTTCTGTTTCTTTTGTGTTTGTGATACGGCAGAGTGAGTAGTTTATCCGTCCTTGAGCCCTAAGACCTGGCTCACCTCAGCACACGGCTGCGTGCGGGGTTTGTTCTCTGTCCCTTCCAGCTGCTGCCTGCTGCTCGAGCCTTGGCTCCAGGACAGAGCAAAAACGGTGGTTTTTGGAAACATAGGCGAGTTTGGGTTGGAAGGGGCCTTTAGAGGCCATCTGGTCCAACCCCTCTGCAAGGAGCAGTGACATCTTCAACTAAACAAGTTTGTTCAGAGCCCTGTCCAACCTGGCCTTGAATGTTTCCAGGGATGGGGCTCCTGCCCCCTCTCTGGACAACTTCTGCCAGTACCTCACCACTCCCATTGTAAAAAATTTCTTCCTTACATCCAGTGTAAGTCTACCCTCATTTAATTTAAAACCATTGCTGGATGATCTTGGAGGTGTTTACCAGCCTTAATAATTCTGTGACTCTCTTACAGCTGCCACCATCCAAACAGCAGTGTCTATGCTGCAGGGAAGATGTTCTGGGCCTTTTAATGCTGCTGTGTGTTGCAGCAGGGAGGGGGTCTGCTCTCACCATGTTATTTACCTCTCATCTGCATGACTGATCCTTGTTCTTTCACTTCTTGTTCTTAGTTTGCTCTTTCATTACCCTCCTCTCAGCTCACTGTGATTGTACAAAGAGTGAATTCCAGGGTCTCTGCATAAATTTCTTTTGTCACCTCCATATCTGGCTGGATTTTAAATACAAGTGGAAGGTTCTGAGCACTTTTATTTGCTTTACAGGTAATTACCGTTCTGCTCTAAATGATGCCATCCAAGCCAAAAAGCTGAAGCCCACCCATCTCAAAGCCATCATAAGAGGTGAGAGTTAAGGCTGGTGTTGCTGCAGCATCCTTTGCGAGCACTTGGCTGATGTTGACTTCACTCATTGTTCTGTAGTTGTTACCAGCCCTGAAACAGGCTGTCATTACTTGTTGCCTTGTTTCCTTGCATGTTTCTGGGTGTGTAATAATTGTGTTTATAAAGCTTCACTTACTGTGACTGGGCATCATACTCTGTTTCCAGATTAATTTCAGAAAGGGAGAGCAGTTACTGGAAGAGATCTCTTCACTTGATATTGCTGTTTCTCCCCCAAACAGAGCTTTGCCTTTTGCTTTGCATTTTCAATTAAAATATCCTTTTGTTCTTCATCTCCTGTATCTATCAGAGGCACTAGACCTGTTTCTGTAGAGCACAGCATAACTTTTCCTGTTTTGCACAATGCTTTTTTTGGGGTCTGTTCTTTTTTCCCACTCCATAGAAACCCCCATTTTATTTTTCCTAACAAGACAACTGCTGAAATGTTAGTTACAATGATAAAATTTTGTTTGCAGCAGACACTTTTAACATAATTCTGCTGATTTCTGTGACTAAATGATAAAAGAGCTGACAAAATATTTTAAATTTTCTTCTCAATGGACCTGCAGGAAGTTTCTGGTTGAACATGACCACACAAGACAAAAAATTTAGTGCAGAAACACCAGATCTGATGCTGTCTTTATAATCCCCACTTTTGCAGTAGTTGTACACTGACTCCAACAATGGAAACTTACAATATTAATCCTTTCAGGAGCTCTCTGTCACATGGAGCTAAAGAATTTCTTGGAAGCAATAGAATGGTGTGAGGAAGGCTTGGATATTGACCCAAAAGAGAAAAAGTTTGTGGAAATGAGAGCTAAAGCTGACAAATTGAAGGTAAATATGAGGGCAGCCTCATCTGCAGTGCTTGTCTCTTTGGGATCCTTGGAGGGAGAGCTCTCCATCAAGGTTTCTGAGTGGTGGTTCCATGTGTTGTGTGTTGAGATGTGCAGGGGAAGGGGCTGGAGGGACCTTCCTGGGCACCCAAACTGATTTCTCCACCTGTGTGACCACGGTGCATCCTTTTCTTACCTCTAGCGAATTCAGGAGCGGGATGCCAGGAAAGCAAAGTAGAGCAAAAAAAATTAAGTTAGAGCCATGATTGTCCAAGTCTGCATGGCTCCAGCCCCACCTACAGCTTTCTGCATTTCAGGTAACAGCTAATGCAAAATACAGAGCCAGTGTTAGGAGGTGGGCTGAGCTCTGTGGGTGCTCTGGCTGCTGGGCTGTAGCATCACATCAGCCCAGTGAACCTGGCTTTCTTTGCTGCCCACAGGCATCAATTCTGTGGAGGAATAGAAGATAACTGTTCAATGGGGTAGAGGAGGGAGTCAGTCCTGGATCCCCTCCTTCCTCAGTGAATGTTGAAATGACATTAAAATGTTTTGGGCTCTTACATACAGTCAGATCTCTTCTGCTGTTGTTTTTCCAAGGAAAAGAGTGAGCTTTCTTCAGTTCTCTGGAAGAGTAGATGTTCTCAGGGGCTGGTGTCTGTAGTTGCACCCTGCTAGGTCCCAAAGATTTTAGATGCATCCCTTTCCACATGTTTTCTCTCCATGTGTGGGCTCCTCTGGATTCCCACTTCTCTTCATCCTTTTCATGAAGAATTTGGATATCTGGCTGAGGTTCTGGATTCTACTGGGAAGTTCAGTCACCTGAGTCTGATACTGTGGGAAAGCTTTGGATGGCATGTTTAGGAGCTGACTCATTAACAACATCATTTGACCTTTTACTGACTGCTAATTTTTTGTTCTTATTCTCCTCACCGTAACTGTTTGATTTTTAGTTGGTTTTTGGTCTTTTTCCTCCCTCCCCTCCAGGAAAGAAATATCAAGCTGGCTCTTGAGCCTTCAGATGAAGAAGAGGAAGTGTCAGATGGCCTGGCTGAGATATCCTTAGATGGGTTCCACCCTGACAGTGCCACAGGGGCAAAGGTGCACTTGGATGCTGATGGCAGCCTGAACTGGCCTGTCCTCTTCCTGTACCCTGAGCACGAGCAGACAGATTTCACTGTGGCTTTCCATGAGAACTCCAGGTGAATGCACTGCCAGCAGCACTCCTGCATGGAGGAGGTGTTTGAGCAAAAGAGAACAGGCAGCAGGTGAAACACTGCCATGCTGGTGGAGCAGTTCCAGATTTCTAATCACACAGCTGACCCTGCTTTTGAGCAGGAGGCTGCACTAGATGACCTCCTGAGGTCCTCTCCAGCCTGAATTATTCTGTGATTTACATAAATTTATAGTGCAGACAAAGCCATTTAGCCAGGGTGACAGAAGGGGCTTGCAGAGCAAGCTCAGAGCAGTAATTAATTAGTGGCCAGGGATACCTGTGACCCATCCACACATGTGGGCTCGTTAAGGTGCTGTCTCAAAGCCCTCCAAACATGGCATCTCAGAAAAAACAGGTTAAACTTAAAAATTACGAAAAGCTTCCAAAGGGGGCCTCAAACAACCAGCAGTGACCCCAAAGTTCTCCTCAGGGCTTTCATCAGATCTGACTGAAGTGCTGCAGACCTTTCAGTGACTGGCAAGCTCGGAATTCCACACTCCTTTAAGTCAACTTCAACTTAAAATCTTGTAGTGTTAAACAGACTTGGAATTTGTGACTTTTTCTTTGTTGGAAGACATATTCCTCAGATCTATTAATAATTTTAGGACTTAAAATTACATTGCAAGCAGATTACTAAAGTTGTAGTACTTTCATGGTAGTGTTCACTGTCCCTTTTTGTGACTAAAGGAAGTGGAAATGGATTTTTGGAACAAACTGGACTCCAACACTCCTGAAGTAGCAAAGTAAAGAAGCCTTTGACACACAGACACATTCTCATCACTCTGATCTGGTGAAGCATGGGACTGTGTTGAAGGAAAATCCATTTTAGACAAAACGCAGGGTGTTTTATCTTGACATCTTTTTCAGTGTGAAAACGTAAAGTTAAAAATAGTTTGTTGTTGCAGTGCTCAAATTTGAAGCCAATAGTCTCAGTTACAGCAGGGCCTTGGATTCATTGGGAAAGTGATGAGTTTGAAGGAAAGGAGCTGTTGGTGATCTAAACTTGCTTTCAAGTCTGTTGTTTAATTTGCTAATGTATTTTTGCCATCATTCAAATGCAAGTGTACAAGTTATTGAAGCTGAGCACTTTGTCTAAGCTGACCAAGTGTATTTTGGCTTTTAGGTTTATTGATCATTTAATGGTGATGTTTGCTGAGTTACCTCCTTGGGATTTAGAGAAAAAATACCTTCCCAACAATCTTGAGGTGAGAAGTTTGACTTTCCTTCAATTTCAGGGTTGTTGTGGGGTTTTTATTTCTGGAGTGAGAGGGTGCACAGCTCTGAGAGTATGGAAGTGTTGGCATCTGTTTACCATGCACAGATGTGGAACAAGGACTCATAAACTCAGACATTGCACATGTGTGCTGACAGAATTCACTTATGGAAATGGAAGATGTCTTCTACTTAGACTGTGTTTGACAGAAGGTATTTATAGATATTGCTTAGATTCCATCTTTGTAACAGTAATTGAGATTTAAACCATCAAGCTGATAGGTGGCTTGGTTTTTTAATTGCATCGTGGAGTTGCTCAATACAAATAAGGAAATATTACTTTAAAAATAATTTCTTTTTAAAGTGGAGTTCCTTAAGCACATAATCAGATCAAGATAATATATCTCTATTAACACTTCAGCAAAGGTGGGCTGTGAGTTGGTTGTGGCTGCAGCAGGTTTTCAGAGTGTTTCTGAAGTTGTACATAGAAGGATATGAATGTTTATTTTTCATTTTCCACTTCAGTGTCATCTGTGCCAGGCAGCAGCACAACCCTGTGTACAGTGAGCAGACAGGTCCAGAAGGACAGTGGCTGTGTACTTTTCCAGGTTAAATCCTGTGTGTATTTACAGTCTAAGGCACCATTGCTGGATTTTAATCTCTTAAATCAACACTGTTTTGTTCAAATACCTCAAAACCTGCTCAGTTTATCTCCTAACATAGCTGCATTTCACCTGTTAAAAAGCAGCCCTTAGATTTGGATTGATTGCCTGTAAAGCATGGGAACAGCCAGTGTATTTTACCTTCCTGCTGTCACTGCCAGGAGAACCTAAACTGGTTTATACAGGGAAAACTTGGAATTCACACAGACCAATTTCTGCCTTGCTGAATTTTGCATCTGACAGTCAGGTCAAGCTGCAGAGGTTTGACAAAGCCCCAGCTGATAATGGTGTGCTGTACTGGGCTTTCAGCAGCTTAGTGCTTTCCTTCATGTACCCCAGACACTTAATAACAACCCCCCCCCAATTTTTTTTCCAGCTCTATTTTGAAGATGAAGAAAGAGAAGAAATGTATGAGGTGAACCCAGAACACACATTGCTACAAGTGCTGCAGCATGAAAGGTGAGGCTGTACCTGTCCATGTGCAGGGGAAAAAAGGCACAAAAGTATGAGCTTTAAGTCCAGTTTGTTCTTAAATAGTCCTAACTCTTCTCTGACTTCATAGTCCTGCCTCTTGAAGGTATAAATCTGCGTGGATTTTATGTCTGGCTTTAGCTACTTATATCTGTTTTCCCCCAAAAAAACGAACAACTTTCCAGGGCCGGATGGAGATGGGAAAGGGAGCTGGGCACAGCTGAGCCAGCACAGAAGGGCTATTCCAGATCCCATCTACACAGTACTACTTTAAAAAAGAAAAACAAAAAGAAAAACAGGCAGCAGCCGCTCAAGAGCGTGTTGAAGGTTAACAATGCTCTCGCTGTTCACTCTGCTGCGTGAGCAGCCTCTGGCACAGCACGCGGCTCTGTGCTGCTCTGAAACTGCCTTTAAAGAGGTCTGCTGTTACTGAGAGAGAAGAATTTTCTGTTTGTGAAGCCAGAAAATTCCTGTGCAGCCTGTGCTGTTGGGTTGCACCATCTCATAGCTGTCTGGAGCTGCTGCACAGCGCGGGGGGCTCGGTCTGTCGCAGTGGGAGCGGGATCTCCGCCACTCCATAAAACTCAGCAGTGTCCATAAGCCCTCAGATTTCAGGCTGTAAGGGCAGTTGCACAAGAACCCTCCTTCCAGAGGGAGAATAACAGCTGCCTTAATTAAAAGAAGCTGTTGGGAGATGAGTTGATTCATAAAACACTCCTCCTCAGATGTGCTTAGCCCTGGCTCCAAGAGGCTCTGCTAATCAGCACGAAAGTTCGTCACCAGCCTTTGGGAGGTCAGTCTTTGTGGAGCTGGGCAGGAGTCACTTGCTTTGCAGGACACTGAGCCAGCTACAAGGAAGCCAAGGACTCCTTTTAATCTTTGCAGGTATTTTGTAAAGGCCGGGACCCCGACAGTTTTGGTATTTGCCAAGCGTTCTCCTTTCTCTAAAAAATACTTCTCTGGCAAGAAAGTGCATCGACTGTAATGAGCAAGAATGAAACAAGGAATCCTGTGCAGGAGGCTGCTGTTGGTTAGCCCAGCTCCAGGCTGCAGATTTCTGCTTGAACAAAAATACCTTGCACTCTTCAGGGGAGGAAAATAATCTTGGCACACAGGGAAACTTCCAGGGGAGCAGCACAGGAGAAGGAAGGGCTAACATGAGGGGATAATTTGTTTAAAAGGGAACCCAGCTGGCTTGCAGAAGGACTCTTCTATGATAGGCTGCATGTGGTTTTGAAATAAACCTGAAGCAGTGCCAAACACTGGCTGGGGTTGCAGTAACAGCAGCTGGGAATGTACCTCCTTACCTGAGAAGAATCACAGATTTCCTCGGAGGTGGGCTGTCGCTGCTGGGGTTTAACAGTGGTGGCCTGGGGCGATCCCTGCCTGTTGCAGTGGGGTGGATGCAGTCAGGTTCCTGTTGGCTGTGCTGCTGGCCTGGGTACAGCAGTGCTCTTTGTTTGGAGCAGTGTTTGACTGACCCTTTTGATACCTTCCTGAAATGTCCTACATAACCTGGAATAAACATAGCTATTTTAAGCAGACTGACTTCTGCCTAATGAACGAGACACCGTTTTTTCTCACCTTGTGAAATACCCAACACAACACCCTGATCCATTACGTTAACTGGTACAGCCAACATCCAGGGTCTTCTGCACTTCTGGATTTGCGTTTGGCTTTTAATTAGAAGTAATTCTCAATCTCTCGTTTCTTTCTCTTCTGCAGTGTCCCTGTGACTGCAGGAATACACTGCAGCTTTACACACAGCTAGTGCACGGGGTGTTAGAAAGCTGTTCAGCCATAAAACAGTCCTGCTTCGATCATGGAGGCTGGCTGCAGGCAGCTCTAGAGAAAATTTCCATCTCACTATTCCTAAATTTCCACACAAACACATCAAGAGCATCTCCACCTGAGGATGGTGCAGTTGGATGTCCAGAGCTCGGGGTTGCCTTACAGCCAGGCAGCCGGGGATGGGCTCTGGGTCCTGCTCAGAGGGCAGGGAGCTGTGCCGCCAGGTGCCACAGGCTCAGCGCGTTGCACACCACGCAGAGGAGGTTGCACAGCGAGGACAGAGCGTGGCAGAGGGCGAAGCGCCGGGCCAGCTGCCTGTAGCTGGGGTTGGAGGCTCGGAGCTGCCTGCGGGGCTCTCTGGCCGCCAGCCCCAGCTCCTGCCCCAGCCCATGGCTGTGTTCCACCCGCTGCAGCTCGGCCGCGCTGGCGGAGGTGGCCTGCCCGAAGCACTGCGCGTTCAGCACCGAAGCGATGATGCAGACGAAGAAGATGATGATCTGCGGGGGAGAAAAGCCCACCCTGAGCATCTCACACGTGTGGTGGGTTAAACCTCCCTCCCCCCAGCCCCCTGGCTCCCTGCAATTTGGGTGCTTGTGGGCTCCTTCCAGCCGGAGCCCTGCGTGGGTCTCCGTGGTTTTGGAGCCGGCCGCTGGAGCAGAGGAAGGGCTTTGGGCCGTGGGCAGCTCACGTTTGGAAGGGGAGGGTACCTGGCTCGTGTGCTCCTCGCCGAGCCGCTCGCTGCGGTGGGACATGGCAAACAGCGTCAGGTTGAGGAAGGCACAGGTGCAGCTGATGTGGAAGTAGTAGGGGAAGAGCTGACGCTGGATGGAGCCGAAGGTGTGGCGAGGGAGGTGCCTGCTCATCACAAACCCTGCGAGGGGGAGAGCAGGTGAGTCCTGGGGCAAAGCCCCCTCCCCTGTGCCACCCCCCTGGGCAGAGAGCACAGCGCAGCCCAACCTACCGGCCACGAAGGTCACCCAGAACTGCATTCCCCAGGAGGTGGAGAGGAAAAGCAGGTGCAGCAGTTTGATGGTGTTGGAGGGCTCCGTGTCACTTGCCATGGTGTCCTGGATGGGGACAGGTCCCTTCATGTCAGCCAGGACGCCCCGAGTTCGGCGCTGAGCTGTGGCTGCTGCTGTCACCTTGCTGCTCGCAGGGCAAATGCGGTTCAGGTTCACAGACCTGCTTACTCAGGAAAAGCTTTGGAGCTGGCACAGCCCCGTTCCAGCCCCACCACCACACAGCCAGCTGGGCTGCAAACCCGCTGTTCAAACCCCTCGTGTCCCAGGGGCAGGGCACTGCTCAGCACCTGACAGAACCAGATGGTTTGGGTGGACTTTTGGCAAAGTCCAGCCAACTCCCCGTCTGACCCTTGGCAGCAGGAACGAGCAGAAAGTCAATAAAAAGGGGAAGAGAAAAGCTGTGACAAATACACCTGCCCACGCTGTGGCCATCAGAGAGGCCTCTTGGTCAGGGGGAAGGCCCTCTGTTTAAAAACAGCAACAGCTTCTACGCTATTTAACCAAAACCTGGGGCTCACGCCGCTGCCCCAGACCCTGCACAAGAGCACGGGCAGCAGTGGGTGGAAGGAGGCTTTGAAGGAGCTGCCTGATCCTTCAGTGCAAGGAGCACTCTGAAAATTAATTAAAACAAAGCTTCTGGGAGTAGCCCATCAATACTGCTGCCTGCAGAATTCCTCCTCCTCCTCCTCCCCTTGGCTGGTCGCCTCGGGGCATGAATTACAGCGGGGCTGGCCTTGAGAGAGACACCGCCGTCTAATTCTATCCCACTCCTGCAAAGCAGATAGATATACCCTGTGTTGTGATATATTAGCTCCATGGATTTATTTAGGCATCCATAAAATCAGGTCCTTAAACCTTCTTGTGATGGCAGCACACTGGAGAAGGCGCCCACATCCAACCTGGAGTGCTGGCCAGTAAATCGCCAGCTGTCCTCATGGCCTTTTCTTTTCCAAAATCTTCCCGGCTTTTCTTGGGTTTTGGGATTTTTCCCTGCAGCATCCTGGGCAGGAAGGCAGTGCTGGGCTCTGCCAGCAGCCAGCACAGACCCTGCTGCTCCCGGGGTCCCAGATCTGCCTCTCCAAATGTTTTGCCTCCGTGCAGGAATTACCGGCCGAGAGCTCCGGGGTGTTTTCATGCAAAGAAGCTGCAGGTTGGAAGGTTGCTCAGAACAGGGGGAAACCCCATTATTTTTTAAAGGGGATTAAGAAAAATGGTGGTTGATTGCTGAATTGGTCCTAGAGCACAGCATTTGATGGGGAGGGCAAAGAAAGGGAAAGGCTGCTAAGGACAGTCACCAGCAGGTCCCTCCTTCCCTGTGGCATGAGGCGGTGGGGATGGGTGCTCCAGGGATGCTCCAAGCTGCCCAGTCCTGCACTCCATGCCCTGCTGAGGGCCAGCAGATGCTGCAGGGCTGCAGTTTTCTTCCAGAAGCACGAAGCACACACCTCACACCGTGCCCCCAGGTCACTCCTGCCCCCAGGTCACTCCTGCCCCATCACCCTGCATCCCCGGGGACCCAGCCAGGCTGGAGCCAGCGCTGCCCGGGGCCTCCCGATGGGAAAAAGCACAATACTTACAGAGAAGAAGAGGTCAGTTAAAGTTTAATGTTCAGGCAAATACATCATCCCCTCCACTTAATCAAGCAGCAGCAATTCCTAACGGTAAGTAGAAAGGATGGCTCTCGTCCCGGTGATAAAAAGGCAGGATTGCTCTGAGTTTTGGGAGATAAGAGGGCTCTACAAAAATTGAATGTATAGTACTATGTTCAGCCTAAGATGGCTTTATCTTTTGGAGGTCGGGGCACAGCCGTGCCAGACCTTGAGCTGAGATGTTTATGATGGGAGATAGAGCAGAGATTAGGGGTTTATGGCCACAGCCAGCCCAGGGGTGGGAGCCACTGGCTGGTGGCCACAGGAGAAGGGACAGGAGCTCCTTCTGCTTATAAAGTGGGTGGGGAATTTGGGTGGCAAAGGGACTGGGTGTTGCAGAGGGACACCTGGGGTCATGGAAAAGACCCCGTGCTCATTTCTGGTACCTCCATGGCCTCACCTCACCCCAAGTACAGCATCACCATCACTTGCTCTTGGTTAAGCTCTACAAAACCCATCCTTGGGTTTAAGCACAGGGCTCTGCACAGCTGGCACCTGTAAAACCTGCTGTGCCCAAAGCTCTGTGTGCCTAAGGGCTTCCAGGGCTCCCTCATTTTCCAGCAGGCAGCAAGCCTTCCAGAAACCTCAGTGCCATCAGAAAACCTCTGGCTGTGTGACCCAGGAAGGCCTGGCAGGGGCTCTCCACAGGCCTGTGCCTGAGGGCAGATGTCCCCTGCGCTGTGACTGATGAGTAGCACTTCCACTGTCACCCCTGCTTCATTCTGGTGCCTTTCCCAGAGCATCCCAGACTTTGGGGAACAAGGTTTGGCTCTGTCTTTTCCTTTTTCAGCACCTCTGAGGCAGTTTGGGGTCTGCAGCTCAAGGTGTTGGTGCACCCAGCAGAGGGGGACAAGGAGGGCTGTCCCAAACATGAGAGCAACAGCTCCAGGCAGTCCCCAAAAGCCACCTGCATGGAGCACCACCCCTTTTCTGCAGCACAGTCCTGCCTCACAGGACCCCACCTCCACCTGAGCCCCAAGTGTGCTGCTCCAAGCTCACCACACAGCAAGCCCCTGGAGCAGATACTCACCCAGAGCACATAGGGGTGCTTTTCCTTTCAAAAAACTTTTATTTCTGCTCCTTCCATAGCCCCAGGGGGTGGGATTTCAGCCCAGGAGGAGCAGGGGCTGTTTTCCAGCCCTGCCCAGGAAAAGAAGCAGCACTGGGGAGAGTGGAATTTTTCACCCCTATGCCAGGGAAGGGGTACAGCACCCACCCCACATCACTGTCCCCTCTCTCCCTTTGCTGCCTCAAAAGGAACCAGTTATGCCCCACCAAGAACTAGTGAAAAAAAAAAAATAATCTGGTTTGGGAAGATTTTGGATCATATAAAGATTCAAGTAGCGTTAAGTGAACTAGAAAACTAAGTCCTGTACATAGAGCTTACAAAATTTCTACATAAAATAAAAAAGGAAAGAAGAAAAGGTATGACACATCAGTGATGAGGTGGTACAGTAACGCCCCTCCACCCCAGCCCCTGAGCCCAGAGGCCCCAGAGAGGCAGGGTGTGGGTGCCACCATCCCATGTTCCCTTCCACCACAGAAGTGTCCCCCTCATCTGTCTGTCCATCTGTCAGCAGGGGGCTGTGGCTCTAGAAGTCCTGCAGCCGTGAGATCAGGTCCTCCTTATTCTTCAGCAGGAACTTCTCACAGGCTTCGAAGGTGGAGCAGATGTCGGAGGACAGTCCCGCCACGTTGGTGGTGACGTAGTTGAGGTACCCCGGCATAGCCTGGTTGTAATAAGCCACCTGCGAGGCACAGGACAAGGTCAGCAGGGGCACAGGGGAGGGGGGAGCCTCCCCCATGGGCTGTGGGAACACAGCCATGCAGCATCCCACCTTGCTCATCTCCTCTGACTCTGGCCAAATGCAGAACCCGGAGCAGAGCGTCTCCCCGCGCGTGAACTCGGCTCTGGCGGGGTGGGTGGGCAGCGTCACCGACCGAAAGGCCACCACGTAGGGGTCCCTGGGGACGAGAGAGCCTGGTGAGCTGGCACAGCTGGGATGGCAGGGAGCAGGGGCCAGGCTGGACGCTCACCCCCTGCTGCAGGGCTTCCGCCGGGATGCCAGGATAACAAAGTCC